CACCCTCTCTGGAACTCCCCAGCACTCCTAGACCCCGTGCCACAAGGATGCTGGGTCCTGTGGCCCACGAAGGATGCAACATGCCAGAGAGAGGGCTCCCACCCCTACCTCCAGGCCACCCGCAGCTGAACCTCTCAGGCACCAACCAACAAAGGAAAACCAACCTGGTGTTTAAAATGGGGGTGGGGTAGGGTGGGAGGCTTCCATCATGCTTGGAATTGGCTGCAATCTCCATGCATTTGCCAAGAAGCCGAATGGGCTGAAAGGCAGATGCAGGCAGCAGCTTGACCACAGAAGGTGGAGCCAAGGTGGAGGGACCAGCGCTGCTCCCAGAGAAGCTGCCCAGGGCAGCGGGTTGGGGGGGGCACACCCCGCCTGGCCCTGAGGGAAAGTCTCAGCTCTGACCCCAGGGCTTAAAGTCTCCAGAGCCCAGCAAGGGGTGTGGCAAGGAGGAGGTCATGAAGGTGGCTTGAGCCAAGGTCCTGACTGACCAGCTCAGCCTGCTTCAGTCTTTTGGGTTCCACAGGGCCTCAGATGCTGCCCAGAACTTTCAGCCAGGTTCCTAAGCCCTGCGGCAGTCAGTACTTCCTGGGCTCCGGCAGGATCAGCCACCTAACTTCTGCCTCCCTGTGGCTGCCTTAAAGGCTTCAGCTGACTGTGCCCAGGGCCCTGAGCTGAGGAGGGCAGGCTGGCCCTGACTCCCAGGATGCTCCTCCAGCCCCGTTCAGCTCCTCCTCCTCCTTCCCCCAGGAAGGTGGCCATGCTGGAGACAAATCCCATGGTGACACAGATCTTGAGATTCCAGAGCTCCCAGCCACCCAGAGCTCTCCTTGGGGTCCTGGGGTCTTATCCCCACCTCCCAGCGTCTCTTCCAATCTCCCAGGCCCCTCCCCACTCTTCTCCTTTCTCTCTTCCAGGCTTCCCAATCTTCCACATCCCTGAGGAAAACAACTCTCCAGGGCACCCCACTTCTGATTCGCCTACACTTGGAATCCTTGGCTTTCCCCTAAAGACCTGAGGAAGCTGCGTCTAACATCACAGGGTTGGGCCCTCCCTGGGGCACAGCGGGATAGAGCACAGCACTATGAAGCTAAAGCCACTTCAGCATGAGTTCCATACCCACCCTGGAGGTGACCCCCAGGGCACAGCAGCCCTCTCCTGACCCCCCACTGCTCCCCTCAGCCGTGTACTGGGTCAGTGGGCCTCTTCTGCTCCCCAGTCTGTCTCTGTCAAAGCCTCTCATGGCCTCTGCACCTCTGGCCTGTACCCCAGTTCTATGCAAAAATAAATTTTAAAATCTTAAATTTTTTTTTCTTTTGCCTCAGGTGTTAGTATGTCATTACAAATTTTCTCGCATTCATTTTATTTTTATTTTATTATTTTTTTTTATTTTACAAAAGTTTATTTTTACATCATTTTGTACATTTTTTTTTTCCATCTCAATTGTAATCCCTGCGGGTTTCCCATCACCAGGTCACCCGTGTGCCATCACCATAATCCCCTGCATTTCCCTCCCCGCCTTTTTGGCCCCATCCACCCCCCACCCCCGCAAAAACATTCATTTTATTTTTTATTTTATTTTATTTTTTTTTAAAGATTTATTTATTTGTACATACAGAACTGGGGTACAGGCCAGAGGCTCGGGGTGGTGAGAGGCTTCACCAGAGACAGAGAGGGGAGCAGAACAGGCAGATCTATGAAGTACACTGCTGAGGGGAGCAGCGGGCGGGTCAGGAGAGGTCTGCCGCGCAATGTGGATCTCTTCCGGGGCAGGTGGGGATCGAACTCATGCAGAAGTGGCTTTAGTTTCTTAATGCTGTGCTTTAACCCGTTGCACCACCAGGGAGGGCCCATTCATTTTATTTTTATCTCGATTTACTTATTTACTTATGCACACAAGAACTGGGGTGTGTGTGGAGGGGAGAGGATTCACCAAAGACAGAGTGGGGAGCAGAACAGGCAGATCAACTGAAGTCCACTGCTGAGGGGGCAGCGGGGAGACGGGAGGTCTGCTGCACCTATGGGTCCCTCCCCGCCAGGGAGTGCTGTGCTTTAGCCCATTGCATCACAAGGGAGGGCCCCTAATTTTAATTTTAGAATCTTCCTTTAAAAGATTACGTTGATAACGAAGTTTTTGGCGTAAAATTTTGCTCTCAAGGCAACTGCCTCACTTGCCTAATCCTTGTCCTGGCCCTGTGTCTTGCTGGGACCCCAGGTTTCAGCCTGCTGGAACCCTGGCCTTCTCCCAGGGGGCTCTCTGGGCTCGGTCCCACTGAAACCTTCTCCTGGCTCCTTCTCCTGCCAGAGGCACCCGCCCCACCCTCCTCGGAGCTCCCAAAGCACCAATCATCACAAGCCTTTCAGGGAGCCAGCCTAGTTTCTAACACCCCTGCTCAGCAGTGAGCTGCTAAGGTCCTATGGAGTCCTTTCATTTAACCCTGCGCTCTGTGTTGGCAAACAAGTGTGTGCTCAGTCAATGCCGATTCAGTGAGTGGTGCCCACATGGCTCAGAGCTGGCCATGGAGGTGCCAGAGACTCTCATGGGGGTTGATGTTGATTCCAGATGCTCCAGAAAACAAAGCAGCTGTCTCCAGACCATCCATCTGCCTCAGCTTGGGTGTGCTGGGGCCTCTGCCTCTGTCCCTGCCCAGTCCTCCAGCTGCCCTCCTGGTCTAGAGCCCTGCCCCATGCTGGAAATGGCAAGGAGCTCAGCTCTGTGCTTCGCAAGCCCACACTTGTCAAAGGTAGGTTATCCTTCACACCCACCCATTAGGATCACTGCTGTCACAACCAAACCAAACAGCAGCCACAGGAAACAAGGTCGTGAAGGAACAGGAATCTTGGGTCTGCAAAATGGTGCAGTCGCTACAGCCAACAGTTGGTATTTCCTTCAAAAATTAAAAAATAGAACTACCATATGACCCACTTCCGGGTATTTATCCAGAAGAATTGAAAGCAGGATCTCAAAGAGGTAACTGCACACCCATGTTCAATAGTCATGCTGGCTGTTATTCACAATAACAAAAGGTGAAAAAGCTGCCCAAGTGCCCACCAGTCAGTGACTAAACAAAATGCAGTACATATGCAATGGAATAGTATTCAGCCTTTAAAAAGGAAAATCCAAAAATTGCTACAGAACCTGAATGAGCTTTGAAGACATTTTACCGGGTGAAATAAATGAATCACAAAAATATGAATACTATGTGATTTTGGTTGTAGCAGGTATCTAGAGCAGTCAAACTCAGAGAGACATAAAGTAGAATGGCAGCTGTGAGAAGTTGGGTGGGGGAGGGATGGACAGTTGTATTTAATGTCACAGTGTTTATTTATTTTTAAAGATTTATTTATT